GTACAATGACAGACATAAATCAATGGAATAGAATTGAGAACCCAGAAATCAGTTCATCTCCCTATGGTTAACTGATTTTTGACAAGAAGATAAAATCAGTTAACTGGGGAAACAAAAATCTCTTTAACAAATGGTGGTTCCAAAATTGGAAAAGTATCTCTATTGAAAACTCAAGCAAGACACACATCTCACACTATACACAAAAACCAATTCACAGTAGATCAAGGATCTAGGAGTAAAACCATGGACTATAAACTTGAGATCAAAGCTTGGAAGAACTCTAAAAGACCTAATTCACAATATGAGCAGTCTCCCAAGTATTCTAAAAAACCTACAACCAAGAAAAAATAAAATAGAGGAATGGGACCTGCTAAAAATCAAATCCCTATGCACATCAAAAACCTTCTCCAACAGGGTAAAAAGGAAAGCCACAGACAGGAAAGAATATTTGGAAATGGAATATCTGATAAGAGACTTATAGAATTTATAGAATAGTCCATAACCTCTACAAGATAAAGGTAAACAACCCAATCAAAAAATGGGCATAGGATGTGAGTAGACACTTCACCAGAGAAGACATTCAGATGGCAAACAAACACATGAAGAAATGTTCAAAATCCCTAGCTCTAAAAGAGATGAAAATCAAAACAACTACTAGATATCATATTACACAGTAGCAATAGAAAAGTTTAACAGAGTAGCAAACAACAAATGCTGGCCAGGTGGAGAAATTGTGGAGAAATTGGAACCCTTATTCACTGTTGGTGGGAGTGTAAAATGGTCCAATCACTCTTGAAGGTAGTATGGCACTTTCTCAAAAAGTTGGAAATAGAAATACCGTTTCACGCAGCAATTGCACTACTGGCAATATACCCTAAAGAAACCATAACTGCCACCCAAGCAGATATATGGACACCCATGTTTATTGCGGCTTTGTTTTCAATAGCAAAGAGCTGGAAACAACCCAAGTGCCCATCAAAAAAATGAATGGATAGAGAAGCTCTGGTATATTCACACAATGGAATACTATGCAACATTGAAAAACAAGAAACTCATAAAATACTATAAAAAATGGGTGACCCTGGAGGACATTAAGCTGAGTGAAATATCCCAGTCACAAAAGGAGAAATACTGCTTAGTGCCACTGTTATAAAGATGAACTGACATGGAGCTTGGTGAGAAAGTAAGAAAAGAGGGAATTTAAACAGATGAGGGAAAGACCTGTCTAAAAGAAAAATAATGATTACATAATATCTGCATGACAATAGTCCAGAAAAAGAGGTACACAGCAAAGTGGTCCAGGGGGACAGGGGGAAGGAGGAAACTGTGAAACAATGAAAGAATCTTTTTAAAGAGAATAGCAAACTGGGAGGAGAACATAGGGAAAAACGTGCAATAATGAATGAATAGAAATCCAAGTTTTCTGTAAACATTTGTTAAAATATTAATACAAACAAAATAGAAAACGAAAGAAAAAAACAGATACCAGGCAAAGATGCTTGCTATTAGTATTGCTATTCAATCTTATATTGAAAATCCTAGCGAGGGCAATTAAGCAAGAGAAAGAAATAGGAGGCATTCCAAATTGGCAACGGGGAAGTAGATGATATGATATTGTATATACAAAACCCTAAACACAGAACGAAATCTGCTAGACCTAGTAAAGAAATTCAACTGTGTGGCAGGATATAAGATTAACACATATGAACCTGGAGAGAGGATGAAAGGCACCCAAGCGTCGAGGACTCTCCTTCATAGGGTCGCTATATCAACATAGAGATCAGCTGGCCCAGTGGACAGAAAGCGATGCTACCAAGCCGAAGGTGGGTGACTTTTAATCCGCTGCCCTCGGGCCTGTCTTTCATTGTTTTTGTTCAGACATTCCTCTAGGTCGTATAGCCCTGGTGTACAAGTTGCCGTACCGCGTTCACTTTTGGTTGCTATGAGGCTGAACACCGTGACACTGGTGTGTCAAATGCGTTAATGATTGGCTACCCAATGCGGACAGAGAGTGGGGTGGAGTTCCCCAATTAAAACAAGCTTGGAAGGAGGAGTGGCAACCACTTCCATAATAGCTTGCCTCCGGAAACCCTATGAACTTGGAGAGAGGATTAAAGGCACCCGAGCATCGAGGAACCTCCTTCATAGGGTCGCTATGAGTCACCTGCGACTCGACCACACCTAAAAACAACAACAACTAAGCCACAAGGAAGAAGTTCAAGCTGCTTTGAAGGAAATAGCAAAAAATAAGGCCCAAGGAATAGATGGTACACCAATTGACATATTTCAGCTAAAAGATGCTGCCCTGGATGTGCTCACCAAGTTGTGTCAAGAAATCTGGAGAACAACTACTTGGTGAACTGACTTGAAGAGATCTATATTTGTTCCCATTCCGAAGAAGGGTGACCCAAAAGAGTGTGGGAACTATAGAACGATATAATTGATTTCACACGTAAGCAAGATTCTACTGAAGATTATCCAAAAATGACTGGAACAGCACATCAGCAGAGAAATGCCAGAAGTCCAGGCTGGGTTTAGAAGGGGTCGTGGTACTAGGGATATTGTAGTTGTTGTTAGATGGATCTTATATGAAAGCAGGGAATACCAGAAAAATGTATATCTGTGTTTCATTGATTATGCAAAGGCGTTTGACTGTGTGGATCATAACAACCTGTGGCTGACTCAGAAAAATGGGAATCCCAGAACACTTGATCGTTCTAATGCGAAACCTATACGTGGACCAAGAGGCAGTCGTCAGAACAGAGCAAGGAAACCCTGCATGGTTGCAAATTGGGAAAGGTGTACGCCAGCGATGTGTCTTGTCTCCATACCTTTTCAACCTGTATGCAGAACAGATTATCCGGCAGGCTGGGATCTATGAAGAGAAGTGTGGCATCAGGATTGGTGGAAGATCTATTAACAATCTGCGTTATGCAGATAACACAACCCTGCTTGCTGAAACTGTGGAGGACATGAAATGCTTGCTGCAGAGGGTCAAGGACTGCAGCCTTCAGTATGGATTGAAGCTCAATGTCAAGAAGACAAAGATTCTCACCACTGGACCAATTGGCAGCATCAGGATGGATGTGAAGAGATTGAGATTGTTAACAAGTTTAGTCTGCTTGGCTCCACAGTCAACACTCTTGGCACCAGTAGCCAGGAAATAAAAAAACGTATTGCGATGGGAAAGTCTGCTGTTAGGGACCTCTCCAGGGTACTGAAGAGCAATGATGTAACTCTGGAGACTAAGGTGTGTCTGATACAGGCTATGGTCTTTGGAATCACTTGTTATACATCAGGGCGTTGGACAATGACTAAGGAGGATAGAAGGAGAATTGATGCCTTTGAGTTGTGTTGCTGGAGAAGAGTATTGAATGTACCATGGACTGCCACGAAAACAAACAGATTCATCGTGGAGAGGGTTAATCCAGGCTGCTCCTTGGAGGCAAGGATTCTGAGGCTTCATCTGACATACTTTGAACATGTTGTAAGGAGGGAGAGGACCTTGGAGAGGGACATCATGCTTGGGAGGGTGGAGGGACGGTGCAGAAGGGGAAGACCCTCTATGAGGTGACTGGGGTAATCAGGATGGGTGTGTCAGAGGCAGTGAGATTGGCACAGGATAGAGCAGGGTTTAGGGCTGTTGTATACAGGGTCGCTATGAGTCGCAAGCGACTCGACAGCACATAACAACAACAAAGCCACAAAGAAATGCCTGAAAATGAAATAAGAAAATAATATCATTTACAATAGCCAACCACAAGATAAAATACTTAGGAATAAACCTAATAGAGTCACAAAATACTTCTATAAAGAAAACCACAAATCATTACTACAATAAACAAGGTATTTAAGCAAATGGGAAAAAATTTCCTGTTCATGTTCCACATTGTGAAAAATATAATCCTACCAAAAACAATTTACAGGTTCAGCACAATCCAAATACAGATATCAGTTTCGCTCTTCAAGGAGATACCAAAGACAATATCTAATTTCATTTGAAAAGGAAAGATATTCCAAATAAGCAAAGCTCTTCTGAAAAATAAAAACTAAGTGGGAGGCATCGCACTTCCTGATCTCAAAACACAGTATATTCCATGGACTGCCAAAAGAATAAACAGATATATGTCTTGGGAAAAGTGTAATCGGAATGCTCCTCAAAGGGAAGGAGACAAAGTGTCATTTCACATACTTTTTGCAAGTTGCTAAGAGAAGGTATTCCTTAGAAGTGTTGTCATGCTGGGAAAGGCAAACTGTCAACAAAAGAGAGGAAAACCTTCAATGAGATGGATTGGCATAGTGACAGCGGCCAGAGATGATGAGGATGGCACAGGATAGAACACAGTTCAGATTTGTTATTCATAGAGTCACTATAAGTCACACTAGACTTGATGTACCTAACAACAACCACCATAAGATGTGTGGTAACAAAGTAAAAAAGAAAACAAATTCCTCTTTTTATTGTTGTGTAGCTTCGAGACAGAATCGACTCATAGCTGACCTACTAGTAGGTTTTCAGAGGTAGTTAACTGTAGGAGAGGTGACTGCCCATCTTTCTCCTGCAGAGCTGCTGATGGATTTGAACTGTGTGCCTTTGGGCTGGCAGCACAAATCCTTACCACGTATTGTAAATAAAGAATCTGGTTTTGCAACAGTATTTGGTTCGTAGAATAGTTCTTTGTTCAAGCTTCATGATGCTTTCTCTATATTTACTTATAAGGACCAAGGAGATAGTGGTATGACAGATTCAACATGAGGTAGAATATTATGAAAAAGAAACAAGCTTTGAAGTAAAAAAAAAAAAAAATGTTTAAATTTCAATTCTCCGAACCAAAGTTCTAAGTATTTTTCCTCTCTGAGCCATCGTCTTCATTCAACAAAGGAAAATTATAACACTTATTTCACAGAGTTCTCCTAAGAATAAAATTACTCAGAAGAGTTACATGAACTTGATACATAAAAATCCGCTTTACAACGTATACACATTAATTTTAACCTACCTTATAATGTGAGATCCTTTGTGATTCAAACTGTAGCAACACTCCACACACTTTACAAAAATTATCTTTAAAATTCCCATCCCTTTCTTGTTCCATCCAATGAACATCTATAAATAAAATGAAACAGGAAATATATCACATTAGTAGGTAATTGAAGGCAATTATTTTCATTCTTGTGAGACTAGAGTGATAGTGTTTTGCTCACTGAATATGACAATGTAATGTGTACACATCAAGCACACTTCTAATGTTTGATATAGCAAGAGTTTGTTTAGCATGGCCTGTTGGTAACAAGGGACCTCTCATGGCTTTGTGGTAAAAGCTACACTATAATCCCAAAGGCAGGCAGTTCAAATCCACCAGTTGCTCCGAGGGAGAAGAAGGGAAATTTCCTCCAGTGCAATTTACTGCCTCTTAGAACTTACTGGAAGGTCAGCTATAGATCAGTCTCAACTAGACCGTACGAAATAACAAGAGTGGAAAAAAGCTGTACTGCAATCTCAAAGGTACATGCTTTGAGTACACCAGCTGCTCCGCAGAAGAAGGATGGCCAGTCTCCTCTCATGTTATTTACTGTCTCTGAAAACCCACAGGAGAATCACTTATGGGCCAGTACCAAATCACTGACACACACCAACAACAATCTTGGTGATACCATTCTAAAGGGAAAAAAAGTTATAGTCCACCAGTAATTTCACAGGCTTCATAGAACACCAAGAAATCAAAGCAAAAGGAGCTGAACAGAAGATTTCAAAGGGAAGCTCAAGAAAACAAAGCAAAGTATTATAATGAAATGTGAAAAGAAATGGACTCAGAAAATCAAAAGGGCTGAACATGCTTGGCATTTATTAAGCTGAAGGAACTGAAGAACAAATTCAAGCCTTGAATTGCAATACTTAAGGATGCTATGGACAGAGTATTGAACAGTCCAGGAAGCATCAAAATAAGATGGAAGGAGTACACAGAGTCACTCTACTAGAAAGATTTTACTAACACAAAAGAATTTCATTAAAAAACATGATAAAGAGGCAATGGTCTTATACAATATTTGTCCTTATGGGACTGAGTCAGCGTAATGTTCTACAGATCCTCCCAAGTAGGTAGCAATTTAAAAAATCATTGCTCCTGCATGCTGTGTAGTATACCATCATGTGAATGTACCATAATTTCTCAATCCACTCCATTGTGGTTGGATATTTGAGGATAGGTGACAGGGCAGGCAATAATAAGAGAAGCACACAGTTTGACGAGTGGAGGGAGGTGGGGGGGGAACAAAATGAGAAAGATCTGATGTAAAAAATAATGTATACGAGCTTTGTAAATAAGTCAGTAAAAATTTAAAAAAAAAAGAGGCAATGGTGATGAAGAAGGAAGTTCAAGCTGCTCTGAAGGAATTGGTAAAAAATAGGGCCCTAGGAACTAACGAGATATCAACTGGAACAGTACATCAACAGAGAACTACCAGAAATGCAAGCTGAGTTTTTAAGAGGCCATGGCACTAGGGAAATCATAGCCAATATCAGCTGGATCTTGGCTAAAAGAAGAGAGTACCAGAGGAATATCTATCTGTGTTTCATAAACTATGCAAAGACATTTGACTGTGTGGATCACAACAAATTGTGGCTAATCTTGAAAAGAATGAGAATCCCAGAACACTTGATTGTGTTCATGCAAAACCTATTCTCAGACAAGGAGGCAGTCCTCAGAACAGAGCAAGGAACTATTAAATGGTTCAAAATTAGGAAAAGGGTGCATCAGGGATGCATCCATCTCCAAATTTTTTTTCAATCTATATATGAAATATGTCATTTAGGAAGCTGGACTTTATGAGGAAGAGCATGGCATCAGGATTGGAGGATGGCTCATTAACAAACTGTGTTACGCTAATGACACAACCTTGTTTTCTAAAATGGAGGAAGACCTGAAGCATTTGCAGCAAAAGGTTAAGCAAGGACTGTAGTCTTCAATATGAATTGAACCTCAACATCAAGAAGACAAAGATTCTCAACACTAGGCCAACTGGTAGAACAATGATAGATGGAGAAGACACTGAGATTGTTAATAATTTCTGCTTACTTGACTACACAATTGCTGCTTGGTACCAGCAATCAGGAAATCAAAAAATGAATTGCATTAGGAAAATCTGCATCAGTGACCTCTCTGAAGTGCTAAAGAGCATCAAAGTCAGTGTAGAGACTAAGGTGCACCTTATCCAGGCTATAGTCTTAGCAATTACATACCAAGCATCAGAGAGCTGGACAATGACCAAAGATGATAGAAGAGGAATTAATGCCTTTGAGTTGTGGAGCTGAAGAGAGTACTGAACATACTATGGACTGTCAGGAGAACAAATAAGTTTGTCCTGGATAGGGTGAAACCAAGGTGCTCCCAGGAGACAAGATTTTAAAGTTCTACCTGGCATACTTTGGGCATGTTGCCAGGAGGGACCAGTCCTTGGATGTGGACATCATGTTTGGAAGGATAGCACAAAAGAGAAAGTACCTGGAAGAGATGGATAGATTGACAGAGTAAATGAAGTAATGGAGGTAAGTGTGTCAGAAATAGTGAAAATGGCTCAGGATAAGACAGAGTTCGGAGTTGTTTTATACAGGGTCACTATGAGTTGTGAGCGACTCAATAGTACATAACAACAATAACAATGAAAGACTAAAAAAACCTAGTCTTAATATTTTTTTATGTTACAGCAGATAATCTAAAAATATGTTTTAAGATCGTCATTGATTTCTAGCAATAAATCCACTGTTGGCTGAAAACCAGAAGAAATTGCATACCATCATTGTGCATGGTGGGCAAATACCTTTATAGTTGTATAAATACCAGCATATTCATATGGTAAAATATATACACATGTATTTGTATATTCACAAGGAAAAAACCTGGCAGGATGCACACTAAATTCAAAAGTGTTTAACTTTCTAAATGGAGCTATCAAAGGAACAGGGGAGAAAATATAACATTTCATTTTCTATAATTCTAATTTTTTTTTGCAAAAGGCATGACTTTATCTTTTTTAAAAAACAAAGATATTTCTTTTTAAACATATGATAAACATCTTCAATGACACAATTTTCAGTTGGAGTATAAAAGCTAGAAATGTACTTAAAGTATTACTTGCTCAAGATAAGTATAAATCAGAAATATATCAAACATGACTTGAATAGTTACAAATTATCCCTAATATATATATACTGTATACTAT